CAAGGAGGTACAGGAAAAGAATATATCAGCAATTAAAGAACTGGTCACGTCCGAAATAGCGTTGGTAACAAAAGAAGTGGAGGAAGTTAAGAAAGAAGTCCAAGGTATGGCAACAAAAACGACAGAGATGGAAGAAAAAGTACAAAAAACAGATAAGAAATGCGATTCAATGACCCAAGAACTAAGAAGAGTAGAAGCAATGATGGAATATAGATGGATGCAGAACCACCTAAGATTTAGAGGTATAGAAGAAAAATTGAATGAAAACATAAGGGAAATCATAATCAAAGCATTGACCGAATACTTGGAAGAAGATGATGGGGAAATTGACCATGAATTTGATTTGATATACAGAGTTAACTCAAGAGTAGCGGAAAAGAGAAACCTACCTAGAGACGTAGTTGTACAATTTTTCACCACCAAAATGAAAGAGGACATTTTTAAGAAACAGTTTACACAACCACTTGAAATTGATGGAAAGAAAATAATGATAATGAGAGAGCTCCCAAGAACAATCCCACAAGACAGAAGGAAGTACACAAGGTTTGTCGTTTAACTACAAAGGTGGTAGGCATGTAATTAAATCTGTTGAAGATCTCTTTAGGTTTAAGGCGGACAATTTAGAGGATTTTGGCGAATTATAAATTGAATCACAATGGAGTACAAGTTTTTATCGTGGAATGTGAATGGACTTAACTTACCTAACAAAAGAAGAAGAGTCAAACATTGGATAGAAAAACAAAAGTGTAACGTAATTTGTTTGTAAGAAACTCATATTAAGCATCGGGACTCTAAATTTTTAATTAACAAATCACTTGGAGAAGAATTTTATTCCCTATCTTTGAAAAAGAAAAGAGGAGTTGTAATTTATGTGAAGAAAGAGTTTCAACCGAAAGAAATTTTTAAGGATTCAGAAGGAAGATTTATAGGGGTGGAGGCTGTATTGCATCAAAAGAAAACTTTAATTGTGAATGTATATGCACCCAATGGAGCGAAAGAAATTTTTTTCAAAGACTTGATGGAGCATCTAGATCAATGGAGTTACGAACAAACAATATTGGCCGGAGACTTTAACGGCACGGTGAATAACAAATTGGACAGACAGTCTAGCAGAGGAGATGAAAAAAGTGGGAAACTGCCAAAAAGTTTTTTTTAAGCTTGATAGAACAAGAAAAACTGGAGGATGTATGGAGAAAGTGGAACCCGACTGTTAAGGATTTTACCTTCTACTCTAACAGACATAGCTCTTTTTCCAGGATTGATATGATTTGGATGACAGAAGAGATGGTTCTGAAGACACATAAAATTAAATTATTGCCAAGAAGTGATTCGGATCATAACCCGATGATATGGAAATCGACAGAAAAGGACAAACAATTTTTATGGAGAATTAATGAGGACTTGTTGGATAAGAAAGAAGTATTGGACTTATTAAGGAAAGAGACTCAATTATTCTTCCAACAGAATTTAGATCATGGAACGTCCATACAAGCAGTATGGGATGCATATAAAGCAGTAATGAGAGGAATACTTATATCACAAAATGTAAAACTGAAAAAAGAAAACTTTAAAAAACAAGCCGAAGTCTTAGAAAAAATAACCCAAAAAGAAAATGAATTAAAGAAGAAGCCTGGAAAGAAGAAAATAATTAGGGAATTACAATTGTTACGGGAACAATTAAATGTGTCATTGAATCAAGAAATGTATTGGAACTTGAAAAAATTGCAGCAGAAGTCTTTCGAGGGAGCAAACAAGCCGGGGAAATTCCTGGCATGGCAATTAAAAAGCAGGAGAGAGAGGAGAATGATTAACAGAATAGTTGAAGATGGAAAAGAATATGTTGATCCCAAAGGTATTAAAAGAGTTTTTTTCAAATACTATGCGAGATTGTTTCAAGG